ACGCTCTTCACACTGTCCTGTGCTGGAGTCTCTCCCTCACCTGGCCTTCACCTGCTCCTGTACTGCCTACCTGTGCTCTGCAGGTGAAACCTGAGGGCTGTGAGCCCTTCCGATCTTTGTCCCAGCATGCTTCAGTGCTGCGAGCTGCCAGGTCTGGCGCTGGCTTGGGGCATGATCGTTACAGATCCCTGGGGATGAGTGAGGGTGGTGACGGGCTGTGGCAGATGGATTTAACAGCAGATCGTAACTCACGCAGGGGGATCTGTCACCGTAAAGATGAAGGGTGCCTTGGTGCCCGCCTGGGGCATTTAAGGCAAGGGAGGAAACCTGTCGTATAGCTGTCACAGCTCGAACCCGAGGCTGTCTACTGCCATGTTGGTTTTCCTGCTCCTTTTCTGGTAGTGGACGCTTCCGTTTGTTGCCGTGGGCACTTACTGTAAGAGCAGTTGCGAGTGTGGGCTAGAATGACTCAAGAGTTATGTGGCTTGAACTGGTCCTGTCACTTTCCTGGACTCCACTTTCCTCTTCTGTGAAATGGGGATGCTATCATCTTCCCTGCGGGGTCACGGTGGGGACCAAATGAAATGAAATGTACCGAAATTCTTAGTGCATCTCTTGGAGCACAGAAATATGTAGTGGACGGACAAAACCTGCCTCAATGCTCCATGCATTTGAGGGGACAGAAGAGTTCTTTTAGTTCCGGTGGTCTTTGCTGTCTGTCGTGTGCTTTGGATCCTTGTTCTCTGGCCATCTGGTGGGAGGGAACCAGCCTGATGAGTCCCTGAGCAGGTCACTCGCCTCCTGCAGGAGGCACCATGGCAGCCACGTACAGACGCTGATCTTGCGGAGACTCACTGGGGATGAGATGATGAGGGAGGGGCTGTCCTTGGGCAGGATGAGGTGTCTGTGCCTCCAGTTGGCAGTTGCTGGCTTGCAGTATCTTTTCTAATCCTGTGCCCCAATAGCCGTCCAACCAGGGCCCTGAAGGCTTTCTATTGATGTTCAAGGCAGAGCGGTGGTTCTTTTTTACATCTTATCATCGCTTTTCGCCAGCCAAGGTAGTCGATTCAGATCAACGTGCCGTCGGGTCCAGATACTCCCAGGTGCAGGCACGGTATTGCTCACACTGTGACCCACTCCTGCATCCAGGCAGCTGTAGATCATCTCTGTCCAGGGCGGGGCTGGGGCGCAGCCAGCCTGCATAAATGGCCAGTGTCCTTGAGAGAGGCCCGAGTCCCCAACTGCCGCCGGCTGTGTGTGGGAGATTTCAAGGTGTGCCAGACACGCTCAGGGGCAGATGCAGAGCCCTGGCCTGGCAGCTGGTGCTCACACGCAGGTTGCCTTTGCTGGGTCATTGCGGTTTCTCACACTGGAGGAGAGGTCAGATGGGAGCAGTTTCTGAGTCACAGTGGATAATGGCTTTACTGTTCCACTTAATTAAGGTGAAGACAGTGGGCTGTTGCCATAAAGGTGACATTAGGAGTCAGATTACACAGTCTGAGGTTGGAGTTTGCAAACTAGGTTCTGCTAGCGACACCTCATGTTTGCATGTGTGGAGTGTGTGTATATATGTGCATGCGTGTGTTTGTGTGTGTGTGTGTGTGTGTGTGTGTGTGTGTGCGCGTATGTGTTGGGACCTTGTGCAATATGGTTTGTTTAAACTCACACAGCCACGCAGAGGGTGTACCCTGAGCAGTGAGGCCAGCACAGGGCAGACTGGCTGGTTAGGAAGCTGCACAGATGTACCTGCCATCATCCCTGCCTCTGCTGCACCCATGTACCTGCCATCATCCCTGCCTCTCTCACCTGTGACCAGAACAGGTGTCCCCAAGGACTGCGCTAGTCCAGAGAGAGAGCCCCCTGAGTGTGGGAGGGAGGAAACTCAGCCGACTCTGGGACAATGCACGTCAAACTGCACAGGGCCGCTTATGTGGGGACTGCTTTTGACAAGGACATTGGAAAATACGGTTCAGTGCTGTAAATGTATTATTCTCTCTCTCTTTTAAAATAATTATTTATTTTATTTGTTATTATTTGTAATCCACCAGAGAGAGCAGAGAAAGAGCAAGTTGCCTGATCCGGGTCTCAAACCATGGTCAGTCATGTGGAGGTCAGCATCTTAACTACCATGTCATCTGCTGGATCTCTCTATATATTCTCTCTCATAGGATTTTTTTACCGAACACTTTCTCTTTTCTGGCTTAATTTCTTATAAGAATACAGTGTGTAATAGGTATTGCTTCTGAAGTGGTATTCATCAACTGTTTCTATTATCAGTAAGGCTTCTGGTTAACAGTAGGTTATTAGTATTGGATAGTCGGAAAAGTTCATAGAAAAATACATCATGACTTTTTGTGCAACTGAGTAGGTAAATTTGGGGGAGTCAAAAGTTCTTCATGGGCCACACTGTGGTGTGGTGGTTAAGGCAGCTGGATCCCACATGGCCGACTGTGAGGTTTGAATCCCAGACCTGGTGGCTGAAAAAACATGCCAGGTTCATATGCGTAGGTGCCCGAAATCCTGAAAGGAGGGAGAGATGGAGAGAAGACTGTGACATGTCCATATCCCATGGGGGGTGCTTTCCTGCTTTCTCTCTCGTCTCTCTCTCTCTCCCCCTAGGGAGCATACACACCCCCGGCAAAATTTTAAAAAGAAAGTTTTATGTATATTTCTGACTTGGCAAGGGTCAGTGCCCTTAACTTCTACATGCTTCAAGGGTCAGGTGCACTTTAATGGTCTTTCTTTTGTTTTATCACAAACTTAGCAGCAGCTGATTTTACAAAAAACACTCTCGCTTTCCATCTGTCAAGTGTGGGGCTGGGCCCTTTGTGACAAGGTGCTGAGTGTACAGCTATCACAGACATCAACCTGGTGACATTGGGCTCAAGGTGCCAGTCTCTTCTGAGGGCACAGACTTGGTGGTCGGTTTATACTAATTTCACCACAAAAAGGTTTCACCGAAGTCTCTGTGTACACTCTGGTCTTCATGGTCCACAAATCCAGGCATCCGACTGGCCCATGGTGGTTTCCTGCTCTTTGACGGTGTGTGCCATTGTGGTAAACCTCAGAAACACAGAGAGGGGTCTGAACACGGGAGACTCATCTGGTGCCCATACTGTTTTCTGAAAACCCTCCACGTGTGTGCTCCTCTGTGTGCTGCTGTGTTGGGACCCCACACTGCACCCTTGTTAGGAGCCTACACAGGCATATGTGACCGGAGCCACATGGCACTGAATACCGTCGGCTACCTGAGGCGTGCAGAGACCCTTGCTCCCAGGTCTCTTGCTCCCAGGGGTAGAGAGAAAATTCACAAGAATCTTGTTGGGTCAGAGTGCAAGCATTTCGTTTGGTTAAGAGAACTGGACTCACATTCTGTGGTTTTAGTAAAAGCCAGGTGAACTGAAGTTCTATTCTCCAGATGTCCCCTTGACACTTAG